CTGTTTAAAAATATTTTAAAATTGCATGGTTGCATACCCTTGGAAGTGGTATTTCTGGAGCTTTGTTTCCTTCTGAGGAAAACGTGCATCTGTGCAGATGGGAGCTACAATCTCTACAATTTTGCAGAGAACAGCTTTAACTCTCTAAAAAATCACTTACGCTTTCCTAACACCAGTCTCAGCTTCATTTACACTGAACACAATAAATTACAGTCATCAATTTCTGCTTCCCCTAGAAAAAATCGATTCATTTTGATGCCTTCCAAAACCTTGCTCAGTATTGCATTTACGTAAGAGAAGTACTTGATGACAAGGTAGGACCCAGTCTCAGGCCTCATCTACAAAAAAGTGATGATGGTAGAGTAAATTATTTAAATTTCTAGAAATCCTTATTGGGGTTTACATTAATTTAATCTTTTATGTGAATTCAAATCCAGCTTTTTTAACTTGCCTTGATAAGTGTACTAAGAATACTAAAAATTATGTAGCCAATTTTAAACAGAAACAGATGAGCGAGTCCAAACCATTTTTTGCATTTTTGTGTGGTATAGCTGCTTTTCTGTAAGGCTTTTGGCTTAGTATCACTTTCATATTTTAGTTTAAAAAATCTGGCATTTAGTGGCATTCAGAGGGTGCTCATAAGGTAGATTTAAAACTGTCTCATGGAAGACCTCAGAATGCAGTCATTAAGACAGGGAAGGCAGTGTGGAGGACCATTTCTGGAGGATTTCTTTGGGGAATTGATTCTTCTTTTTATCAGCAGCCATCGTGATGATACAAAACCTTGTACGGTGAAGGTTGCAGTTAGTGCAAAGGTTCCTGGGCTGGTAAATAATAAACAGACCATCTTTTTCATGGCAGGGTAATCTGAATCACCTGGTTACATGTTTTCAGTCCACCAAAATGTGTTTTAAGACAGAAAAATGCAAGCTGGTACACTGGGGAGCACAAAAGTACAAGCTATGTCAGTAGGATGGAAGAGTGTCTTGTAAAAATGTATAACTTTGGAAAGGACTTAGGGGTCAAATTATTGCTTCAGCGTGAATTACCAGTGCAGATTGTGCCTAAAAGGCTGTCACAATCTCGGGGTGTCTCCAGAAAGGAGAATTAGGGAAGGGCTGTTTGCTGGCTGTGTGGCACTGGACAACAGCGTTCACTTCTGATGTCTGTCCTTTTAAGGCTGGTGGAGGGGAAAACGGAGAGAAGAAACAAGGAGGGAATCAAACCAAAAAAATCATCCAGGGGCTGAAAAAATAAGGTCTGTAGTGGGAGAGTTTACTTGGTGTAGCCACTTGGCTTACTTAGCGTACTTACTTACTTCCTTAGTGTAGTATGCTCATGGCAAACGTAAACCACTAAGAGTTGGAATAATGGGGTGGGGGGTGGTGAGGATGTAAAGGTGGGGTCAGTCTTTGCTGAGCTTGTAGGTTATGATGAACAGGACACCGGGAAGATTTTTAAAGCCACTGAGTGACTCACTACGTTCTGTGAGTAGAGAGAGATGCCTTGAAAATCGTTCAAACTTCTTGACCTCTTATTTGAGGAAGCCTTTTTGAAATTTTTGCTCGCATTGGTGACCAGCAGAGGATGTTACTTCTTGAAGGCTGATCTGTGTTTCATCACTGTGAGACCAGGAGCCCCTTGGTCAAGTCCTTTTTCGCATATCCCAGTTTGCAACACACTGTACAAGTTCACTGTAAGAAGAATCCAATTCAGAGAGTGTTTGTCAGATACTAGGTTAATAATCACAGATTTATGAGTTCAACGGGAACTTTAGGACAAGTCCTAAACAGCAGCCAGGTTCACAAATGACTCATCTCCTATGTCTGGGAAATGTGAGTGAGACTGCTTTTTCCACAATTACTTTTTCTCGTTAACGCCATTAAGAATGGCGTGATGGCAACATGAGAAAATAAGCTGCATGTTCACATGTTTGGCTACAGGTCTGCCGGGCATGTCTTTTTCTGGACGCAAGAGGTCCATGCACACTGGCCATCTAAGAGTGACCTTGACGGGTGACAGTAAAATTGCCCATAGGAGTAAGTGTTCACCCATGTGGACCCAATACAGGACTAAAAGTCCTATATTCTGTTACTGTAGCAGAAGAAGAGTTAGGTTGTGGTATTCCCAAGAGGAGAGCAATGATTTTAAATGTAATTATACTTACGCTCCAGAGAAACCCCAAAAAAATTCCTTCTGTTTGTAATCTTCTTCCTGAAATCGCATAGAGTTCCAGATGGTAAGAACTGCTAAACTACTTCTGTTTTGAAAATTACGTTTCCTACTTAAAAAGGGAAATTAAATTTGTATTACATTCATAGGAGTAGATTTTCAAAAGCAAGAACACTGAGCTGCTTGCTCTGAAGTCTGCGGACACCCCGCTGAGTCTTCTGGGCCATCCTGATGTGGCTGTGGATGCTGATGTGCGTGTTTCACACATGTACATCTCCCGGGACTCCGGGTCAGGACATTCATGCTAGAGTTTGCCTACCTGGCTCTCTTTGCCGCCACTGGATGTTCTCATTGGGGCTGTGAGAACATCAAGGGTATAAATAAATGCCTGTCTGAACTGTCCTCAGTGAGCTTTTGTAGTCAATTTATCACCATTCCTGGGTTTTGGACTTTAGCCTCCACCCATTCCCCAGTGAGCTGTTTGAGGTTGGACTCTGAATGTTGCCTGGCATCAGAACATATTCCTCTGGTGCACGCCTTAGGGACTGTCCTAAGAAAATACATCCCTTGAGTTTTATGATCCTGTTTCTTGTGTACGTAACAGCAAGTCACAAATGAGGTGGGGGTCAGGCAGCCGTGGCAAGTACTCCACATGCAGGGGGAGCTGCCAATTTATCTAAATGAAGGTTCAAATGCCAGAAAGCCATGAAGAAGGCTAACACTGCCGAGCTGCCTCCCAGATGTTTGGCTTTCTCCACCACCACAGTTTATTCCCCTTTCACCAGAGACCTGATCATCCCCTCTACTGATTTGCCCAAAGCGGTCCCTGCAGCTGCACTTCTGAATGCCCAGAGGAATATGTCGACTGCCTACACTTTTAGAAATGATGGTATGGAAACAATTATGGGTTGAGGGAAGGACTGGTGAGGGATTCCTTACAGTTCTCGTACGAATTTGCAGTGACCACTTAACTGTCGAGCAGCAGTTCCCGTGTTTCCACGGGCTTTTTTTTTTCCAATTAAAAATAAGTGTTTAAGCAATTAATGTTAAAAAGTCACTTCTGATAATTACATATAGAAACTGGAAAAGAAATTTTGCGCTACAGCATTTACGTATTTAAAAATTCATAAAGTTCTTGGTCTGAGAGGCATTGTGCCCGACCTCTGTGTTTCCTGGTAGTGCAGAAGGAGATTCATACAGCTGCGTTCGGGGCATGTTGAGCGCAAGGCTGAACCGTGCAGGGCTGTGGAAGGTCCCAGCAATCCAGCTACCCATGGCTTTTCCATAGTTTTAAGTCGGGATGCCTAAGGTGTGTGCCCTGGACCTTCTGGAGAAGTCCAGCATTACACTGGCAGTTATCTCCTGTCCCCTAAGTGTTGCAGCCCAGAATCACTCATAGTGCAGCCAAGGGTGTTCAAAGCTTGTCTCACTGAATTCTTACATGGCCAGAACTTAAAAGTGCCAGGTGATCTAGTCCATTTCCTTGCCCCCAAAAAGCCTGTCCTTTACCATCCCAAGAATCCCTGTTTCGAAGCAAGATTTGCCCTAGGAGAAGGTCTCTAGAGACTTCTGAAAAACTATTAAATCATCCCACAGTTGTAGGTGTGTGTTTGTGGCACCACGACTGCTGCAAGCCTCTCAGGTTTAGGTCTGTTGCTGATTATCTGCCATTCTTCTACGTGGTCTGTGGGCATATGGTCCTGCTAGGTCCAGTGTCTTGACTACAGCCACGGAGCCCTGACTGGCGACCTCTGCGAAGACCTGTGTGTGGCACAGAAGCTGGTGTACAAACACTGCCTTTACTACGACCGAGGTAAGAAGGTCATCCAGGCTGACTGGAGAGGCCAGCCCATCATCCTGAAATCCAAAAAGGAAATCTTCTCCAGCTACCAGCACCTCAGTATGCTGGAGGAGGTGGAAATGCAGGATATTCCTGAAGCAGAGCTTCTGCTGATGGTAGCCTTGGAGGTCAAAAATGCCCTGGGGTTAGAACTGTCTAACAACACCATGGGACCCCTGTGGACAAGGAAGAAGGGACCACGCTGGAAAGCACAGGTGGCCAGCATGTGGTCCTTGCTCCAGCAGGAAGAATATATCTACTTCAGTTTGCTGCAGGACCTCAGCAAACACGTGCTACGCATTATTGGCTCTTGTGGACACTTCTATGCCGTGGAGTATCTCACAGCTGGACATGCCTGGCACAAAACCCTTTTTCCCTTGGAAAACGCGGTCGGTCCCTCCCTTGCTGGCCACAGAAGCGGGGTTAGAGCCATCATTGACATTGCTCTCAGCTTTCTGGACATGGTGCAGCATTTTGATAATGATTTCTCTCACCGACTTCACCTGTGTGATGTCAAACCGGAAAACTTCGCTATCAGGCACGATCTCACGGTAAGTCAGCTCTTCGGGGTAGCGTCACAGGAATTTGAGGTCAAATTCCAGTCTGAAAATGGCTATGTAAAAATGATGCTTCCCTCCTCGTGCAGCTTTTGGCCAAGTTTTTGCAAACCCAAGGCATTTACAAGTGTCAGGGGAGCTTTTCTACTGCTTTTCCACTTTGTAACATGCAGCCCCGTTTCAGAGCACTTAAATCCTGCTGCTTGTTTTGATAACTGCTTGCTCAGTTCTGAATTGTTTCACCTCCTCAAAGGCTCCGGTAATGACAGGGTCCTTTGGATGTGGTGAACGATACCTCCTGGCGGCAAGGAGGTCTTAGAAGCTGCAAATGAAGCTGCAATTTGAGTCACGGCAACTATTTCTTCTGCTAGTGGTGCTGAAAGGAACAACTAAGTTGGAAAGCTAAGGCTGAATTCTCTGACCTGGCACAAGGGGAACTCCCCACATCCAAATGTGTGCATCTTTGTGCTTTTGCGTTCAGCTTATATGGCCTGGAAATGATCCAAGGACAGTGACATGAAACTCCCTGGTACTGTTACTCTTGGACTTTTCATTGTACAGCTGTAACTGGGACCTGAACAGCTACGCATGGTTTCTAAGCGGCTCAGCACCGTGTTGCTGAATGTATCCCGCATTCATTCTGTGGGCAGAAATTCCACTGGTTTCGGTGGGAATTGTGTGTAGGGACTGGAGACACTGTGCATTAAGTGCGTGTTTGAACCAGACTCACAATTTGCAGTGGCATCAGTGGAGTTTCTGCACTTGGAATGAATATAAACAATTTTCAGGGACTTTAATGCTATTTTCAGTGCTCACCCAGTGTTAATATAACACTCACATCTTCAGAGTACTAGATAAACATTGCCTAAACCTATAGCCATTAAGAGCAATTAGCGTGCTTCCCCTTCACCCTTCCCTTCCTTCCCATTGTTTATTCAGGTGCAATACAGCAGCTGAACAGGGAATGGGGTGAGGAGCTAGAGCAAGTAACTAAAACAAGCGTACCAGTATTTAGGCCAAGTGAGGGATTCCTCGAGGCAGGCGTTGCCCATCCTTTTCAGTTACGCAGGGCGGTGACTGCATGTGGCTGAGCACACACCAGAACATCTGTTTTATAGCCTGCTTACAGAAAAAGAGACTTAGTTTGGGAAAAGAGAAATAACATTGTGTGTGTCTTCCCTTACAAGCCCTTTTGGGGAGGCTTGCTTCTCCAGGATCTTCCCCTGACTTCTGGGGTCCAAAGAGACAGCAGTCACCTAATACTGGAAAGCACTCTAATTTAGTATTTTCTAGGATAATTAATTTTGTTTTTTTAAAGTGAGTTGCCACTCACATGTGGCTCTCCCAGTTGTATGTTACAGCCTGTTGGTATCACCCTTTATTGTCCCACTGGTCTGTGAGAGGGGAGATGCATAGTCAGAAAGCTGGGGGAGGGGGAACAGAAGTAGCTTCTGATGAGTGAAGGGGGCAGGAGAGTGAGAAGCAGAAACTCTAGGAGGTTTTATCAAACAGTTCTAGAACAGGGATGCAACAAGGCAGCCTCTTTTTTTTGTCTCTCATGTTTGTTTAAGCAATTTTTTAATTTGCCTGTTTCTTGTGTTTTGTGTAGGATAATAACCACCCATAATAGTATCACTGTTCCTCATCCAAGTAACGAGACTGCTAATGCCCAAAGAAATGTGCCTGGAGTGCAATAGTTTTACTGTGAGGATTATTTTCAAACGATGGGGATAAGCCTCCAGCCCTCACTCCAGCCTTCACGTGCTGTTTCTGCAGCACGGAGGGGAGAGATCACTGGTAGCTCATCAGGGGAATTTCAAGCTGCCATGGAGCTACATCAAGTGCAGAGTTGGAAGGAGGCCTGGGTGTATATTCATACAGTGCTCTGGGAGAGCTTTCTCTTTAACCAACGCCTCAGAGACAACGAGAAAGGTTACAGCACCTTAAACATGACTTTAAATCAGGTCAGGAGACAAGATGGGTCCTTCCTGTATTTCCGTAGGTACCTCCATCATCAGTCACGATCATAACAAACCCCACCAAAATAGTTGTTCATAGGTAGCATGTCACCCAGCTCTGTCTTCACAGGGTCTGGCTGGATGCCTGTACATTTTTTCTACCAGATGAATTTCAGTGAAACCGCTGAACCCTGTGGCAGCAGCACGTTTGGGAACCAGGGCTGTTGCTCCTGGCAGAGCCGTTGATCAAAGGTGCTTGGTGCTGGCAGAGAACCCAGCAGGGAGCTGATACGGCGGCCCTAGGATGGAGAAACCCTGCATCGCTTTTGCTGTGTCTTCTCCAAAGTGAAACAGCAAAACTGCAGAAAGCTTAAGGAAGTAAAGAAGAAAAGAAAAAAAAAGAAATTGCCTGTCCAAACGTGTGAAATTCCTTAGGCTATACCATCATTATCAAGCTCTCCAAGAAGCTTTAAAATACTTGTGTTTTTAAGCTATGCCTCATTTCTTTAAGATTATTCCCTGGGGAAAAGGGAGGACAATAAAATGAAGATTCGACCATGTTCTTTCTTTTGCCTGTGGAAGGTTTATTTGGCCTTCTACCAGACCAGACATCTTGAGTTCCTGGGGTTGATCCAGCTGCTGCTCCAGCCACACAGTTCAGCCTCCCCTGTTAGTTGGGAGGTCGAGTCTTATAGACTATCGTTTGAAGCCAAGTAACTCTGCCTTGCCCAGGTCCCAGACATTTCCCTCCGTGAGAACGTGTGCCAGCCACTGCACAGGAGCATCTCGGAGCCTGACTGCCGAGCGTTAAGCCAGTCCCATCTTGAACAACCTCAGGGATCTCTTGCTAGAGCGGAACAGACGCAAACCTACCGACTGCAACGGCAGGGGTGTATTTTGCGGGAGCCTGTACCAGGTGTGGGTAGTTCTGCGCATCCCACTGCTCCTCTCCAGGATGGTAATGTCAGGGGTTTAGTCTGACTGGTGGATTGTGGAATGATTCCATCTGGCCTGAGGGTAATAACTGTGCACCATCATAGAATTAAAAGGTACCACCTGCATAAGCTGCAACAACAAGCAAATCAATCTTCAAGTTGGATGATCTCTAGAGGTCCCTTCCAGCCCCTACCACTCTGTGATAATCCCAATTTAAGGCAAATCAATCCAGTTGACCCCAGGGGCACATATTGCCCACAAATAATTTTCCCTTTCCTGAAGTTGTAAGCATTGGCTGTTTTTGCTTAAAAAGTGTTATTTAGAAGACTAGTGTGGCTTAGTTAAGCCCTTTCATTGTGATTCCAGTTCCCAGCTGGCAGATGCTCTCAGCACAGCACTTCCAAAAGCAAGCAGCAAAGAACTATTGCTCAGCCCTGTCCCTCAGGCTGTGCCGTGCCAGATCTGATGGCTTGTTTTGATCCACAGGTGGTGGCCATTGATGTGGATATGGCCTTTTTTGAACCCAAAATGAGGGACATCCTCGAACAAAACTGCACAGCAGATGAAGACTGCAATTTTTTTGATTGCTTTTCAAAATGCAATCTGAAAATCAGAAAATGTGGAGCACAGAGAGCCAATAACAACTTGCAAGTGAGTAGACACAGCTGCTTTATGCATCCATTTCTTTTAAAATCACGTTGACTATAAAATGCATGGTATGTGCTAGGAGGCTGTGAGATGAATACAGTCAGGTTTTTAAATGTGGCCACATAAGCACCGATCCTGTTCAGAAATCCCATCTTGGGGCATGCAGACAGATCTTTATGTTTACTAGCGTTTATTTGCCGTGGGCTTGTGTAGCTGTTTGCCCAGCACCCCAGACAGGAGAGCAAAGGAAGTAGGGGCAGCGGATCAGCGTTACTGTCTACACTAAGGGTAAAGCCAGGGCTGCCCATGTGGAAGCAGTGAGGGGGTCTATGGCTGCGGTTCTCCACTCTCCAGACGTAGTACATGGATGCAGTGGAAAGGGGTGTCCATGGGATTCTTGGCCCTGGAATGAGGTATCCTACTTGCGCTGATGGGAGGCACTAGCTCAGCAGTGAGGCTGGGGGAGTGTGCTTTGTCGGCCTTTTGCCTGCTTCTCCCACCCCCTCACCATGTCTTATGCAGAAGTGCAAGAGCAGCCTGAGAAGAAGGGATTCCTCAGCTAGAGCATCCTTTGTGGATGCTCCTTTCCTATACCTTCTTCTTTGAATGGCTGGGGGCATTTGGGGTTCAGATGATGTTTTGCTACAGCCCTAAAGAAGCAGCAGGGCATTCACTGTAGCTCCTGAAAGACAACAATCTGCTCTTTTTCCTTTCCTCAGGTAATTTGTGACAAAATATTCCGTCACTGGTTTTCCCCAAATCTCAGAGGCCCACTGGTTTCCCTCCCTCTGCAGCTGCAGCTGCAGAAGGCTGTACAGGAGTGTGCCGAGCCGGGGCATGTGGATGCTGCCGGGCACCAGAGGACTCTGAAATCTCTCTCCGAGCTGTACCACTTGCTCCGGGTCACCCAGCAGGAACTGCAAAGGGCAGAGTAGACCCAAAAATCAGAATGGCTGAGGCCACATCCCAGCGACTGCCAAGGGATGCTGTGTATGAGGCAGCCTGTGTTTTCTTTCTCTGTCTTCCATCCCTCCTACCCATGGTACTACATTTCCAGCACAGAGATTGTTTTTCTCCTATGCAAATAAAACTCATGGCTGCAGGTGCAGCATGTCCTGTTAATATCCTTTCAAGTGTGAAATTGTTTTACATCACCTGGGTTCTGTTCTTGCTTATTTTCCTGAGCTAGCGCTGTCCCTCGCCATCAGCATTCAGCACACCATTCACTCACCAAGAGCTGTAGTCACTGCTCAGATAGCATCGGTCTGAGCGCAGGGCTCAGAGTGAGGATGCGCCTACAGAAAAGTCTAAGTAAGGGCAGCAAAACTAATATCAATCATTAAAAAGGTGGCTGAGTGGATGTGGATAAACGTGTGTATGGTGTTTAATTTCTTTGTAGAATGAGGTGCTTTTTTATTTTAAGTAGGGACAGAGTGCTTGGTGTGAAAAAACAATCTCAGCCAGGGAAATGCATTGTCACAGGGTGAAGAGCTGCTCTTGTACAAAGGAGTCCTTTCTGACTCCTGTCCCCAAATGCATTTTCTCTGGTGTGTTGTGTTACCTGTGCCATAGCTAACTTTCTGGGGGGAAATTATATGAAGGTACTTAGGACTTGGCTAGAGCAAAATGACTATAGCCTCCTTGAGTTCCCACCTGGGTACTGACATTCTGTGGTGAAGACGTATGAATAATGCCACTGAATTTTCCCGTGTGAACAAGCCCTCGGGCACGTGCACATGACAGCATTGATAAGAAGCGCTCCTTTGCCAGAGAGCAGA